GCTGCTTTATGCTAGGTCAGCTTCATAATCCGGCCTACTTTTATCTACATTTTGTATTTATTAATTATTAACCTTGGGGTGCCCACACTTTTCTAGCCTAGTATATTTCACAGGGATGTGGTGAGGATAAAATGGTGGGAGAGGAGAATCAGATATGATATAAAAATATAACAGAAACAGTAACAACAAATAATTAAAGAGAACCACAGAGATGAGAACACTATGAGTGGACAAGTAATCCAGATAGGCGGGGTATAAATCAAATAAATAAATCAAATAAATAAATAAATAAATAAATTAAAGGAAACTCAAGGATATGCTTCAGACACTTGAAAGGAAACACTTGTGTTTTAACTGATTATGACAACACAAGTAGCCTGTGAAAAGGGAAAAAAGGATGAAGTTCCAAACTCCTTGTATTGACCTGCAGTTTGATCCAAAAACTATTCATGCTCATTTCTGGAAAAATAGAGCAAGTGAATATAAACAGCCTACAGAGGCACAAAGCAAGTGCATACAGAGTCTATTTTGCTCCTCCCTAATCTCTTGCTTCCAAAGGACGATTTCTGAAAAGGAATGGAGGGGTAGCAGGCTAGATACAGATGACAAGGCTATAAATATGTTACATCCACCTGTGGTAACTTACTGCTTGGCAAATGGTTATACAGAATACCTAATGATGCTACCCAATAAACCATGTTCGTATGTGCCTATAATACGCCTACAGCCACTTACTTAAGGACAAAATAAGAGAACCTCTGAATCATTTCCTTCCTTTCTTATAGGTTCATAAATCAATGGTAAATGCCATTCACTACCACATATAAAAATTTAACTGAAAAAATTTGGCCACACTAAACAAAACTGAAGAAAGCAGGTTAATAATTAAGAAGACAGGCAAATGAATAACTAACGGAGGTTCTGTCAAAGGACTCATCTGTCCCTAAAATGTTTGCTCAGCGACACATGACATAGACACATGACGATATAAGTGTTCAATTAGGGAAGCTCAAAACAGCACTTCCCTTCTGCTCAATTATTCTGGCCCTACTTCAAGTTAGGATCTGATCAGGCCTAAGTTCAGCTTAATTCAAAACAGATTCATACTCTACCACAAGAGTTAATTGGCCATCCCTAGGGAGAGAGAAAAAGGGTTTATCTTTGGGGCCGGTGTAATAGTGGGAGAGAGAAAGGGCTTGCTACCACAGAGAGGGTAACCAAAATGTTTCTCTTTGATATTAATGAGCTCCCCTTGTCACCTGTTAGCCCTTTTTGCCAAGGGAAAGAACTTCTATTCCACCAACTTGGGTTCTTCCAATATTTCTAACAAACACTACTGGGGTGAGAGTTTGTACGTCTGTGGTCATGTTAAGGAATGCTTTTCTATGTACTTTATAATTCTGTTGTAGTTTAGTCATGGCCCCATGGGTCAGAGCACGGCAGGCCCTCCTGTCTTCCATTGTCTCCTGGAGTTGGGTCAAATACGTGTTGGGAGCTTCGATGACACTGTCCAACCATCTCGTCCTCTGTCGTTCCCTTCTCCTCTTGCCTTCACTCTTTCCCAGCATCAGGTCTTTCCCAGCAAAGTCTTCTCTTCTCATGAGATGGCCAAAGTATTGGAGCCTCAGCTTCAGGATTTGTCCTTCCAGTGAGCACTCAGGGTTGATTTCCGGCAAAATGGATAATTTTGTTCTCTTTGCAGTCCAGGGGACTCTCAAGAGTCTCTTCCAACACCCCAATTCAAAAGCATCAATTCTTCGGCGGTCAGCTTTCTTTATGGTCCAGCTCTTACTTCCATACATTGCTACTGGGAAAACCATAGCTTTGACTATGCGGACCTTTGTCGGCAAGGTGATGTCTCTGCTTTTTAAGATGCCTTCTAGGTTTGTCATCGCTTTTCTCCCAAGAAGCAGGCATCTTTTAATTTTGTGGCTGCTGTGACCATCTGCAGTGCTCATGGAGTCCAAGAAGGTAAACTCTGTCACTGCCTCCATATTTTCCCCTTCTATTTGCCATGAGGTGATGGGGCCAGTGGCCTTGACCTTAGTTTTTTTTTATTTATTTTTTTATAATTCTACTTACCTAAATAATCATGTTTCATATTCCATTAAGATAGAAAACAGACTGACAAACTGGGCAGTAACATTTCCCCCCATAAGCTATAATCCACAAACAACAGTCTCGCATAAGTTCCCTGATGTTCTAAGTGGCTCAATACAGTATGGAGTACAATGGACACAGCATCATCAGTAGATCTATTTTTCCTGTATGCAAATTGCCATGGGTCCAAAGAAGGTGGAAGACTAGCCTTAATGTAATCCAGCACCAATCTCTCAAAACAGTTGTGGAAAAAGTAAACATTACTATTTCTTTTCTTTCTTTAAAAATCACTCAATCTATATTTTTGAATTTAGGGCCAAAACAGAACCAGTGACACAAAAAGAGGGAAGTACTAGCAGGCTAGAAACAACCTGAGCTTTTGTTGACAGAAAAAAGAATTAAAAAGAAGAAGCTGAAGCAGGGACAGTTCCCCTAGTGCATCCCAATGAAGCCTGTTCTGTGACCATGAGATGCTAATTGAATGCTGGGGGTGCAGATGGAAAACTGGATGGGAGGGAGAAATGGAGCAGAACATCCTAGAATAGGGTATAGTTGAACATTTGGTAGGACTATACAAGTGAGGCTGTAATGTAACAAAAAGTGTACACGTCACAGCTGTCACAAATGAGCCTAGTCGCTACAAGGCAGAGTGCCTTTTTCAGGTGGTACAGCACATCCTCTGGAGACTATCAGGTTGAAGGATTCACAGCCAGCTTTCAGGTATCTGACAACAATTTTCTGGGTCAGTGCAACTTCAGAAGACTTGTAGCTCTGTCCTGGTTCATTGTTTTATTGCTAAGCTCACTGTATATGTTTTTTAAAAAACTGTATACACTTTTGTTTTTTATGATGGTGTAGTCTAAATTGGTATGGAATGTGATATTTTATTTAGCCTGTGAAATGCCTTGAAGGCTTGGATGCAGTCCAAGACTTAGGATACATATGAATGAATGAGTGATTGAATGAATGAATGATTGAATGAATATCCCTAAATTAGACATCTGAACTAGGAAAGGAATTTTTTTTTCAAATTGTACCCTTTGCAGAGTATTTACACAGTATTACTGAAAGCTAGTTAGTGTTTCCAACTTTACAGCCTGCTTGGCAATACAAAACACCAGGAAGAAATTACATTAGCTAGAGTCAGCAAGGTTGCTTTAGATGCAATTCAAGCAGAAAACCCTCAAATGTTCTCCAGGAAGCTAGAGTTAAATGAGAGCAAGCCTTTGTACCTTTCTGTACTAAGAAAAAGATTATCTGAGCTACTGAAAAGGAAGAAAAGAAAGATGCATATACATACTCAAGCATCAAGAAGTCATTTCCATTTTGCAATGAAAGCCAAAGTTAGGAAGCATGTGTTCAGTGAATGTACTATCTCCTATGTAATCTCTGTGTTTGTGTGTGTGTGTTTCATGCATGCATACCAATATCTCATGACAATTCAATCTTGATGGCAGAGAAGACAGTGCCCTACAACTGGCTAGTCCCAGGGTCCACCATGATCTCTTTTTGGCCCTGCTTGTTTTAATAATCTTGGAACTGGTTGTTGTGGGTTTTTCAGGCTCTTTGGCCGTGTACTGAAGGTTTTTCTTCCTAATGTTTTGCCAGTCTCTGTGGCCAGCATCTTCAGAGGACAGCACTCTGTGCTCTGGTGTAGTTTGCTTGGGAGTGGAGTATTTATAGCTGTGAGATAGGCTTTTGTCCTTTTTCAGGAGATGGGTGATTAGTGTGTCTTGCTGTGGGTATATTGTTGTGATGAGGAGGAGAGATTATCTGTCACTGATGGGTGTCATTAGCTGGTATTTTGTGTGTAGTGATCCCCGGTCCTTGTGGCTGGGTACAGTTCGTTGACCTTTTGCATGCTGTATTTTTAAGAGCTGGGAGCCAAATTTTGTTGAGTTTCAAACTTTCCTCTCCTCATCATCATAACAATACACCCACAAGACACACTAATCACCCATCTCCTGAAAAATGACAAAAGCCTATCTCATAGCCATACTGTAAATACTCCACTCCCAAGCAAACTACACCAGAGCAGAGTGCTGTCTTCTGAAGATGCCGGCCACAGAGACTGGCGAAACGTTAGCAAGAAAAACCTTCAGAACACGGCCAAAGAGCCCGAAAAACCCACTACAACCATTAGATCCCAGCCGTGAAAGCCTTCACGAATACAATCTTGGAACTACAGAGCTGGAAGGAACCCAATGGATCTTTGAGTCCAGCCCATGTCAAGGAGGCACAGAGGGGAATCGAACTCCCAACCTCTGGCTCTGCAGTCAGACACATATATCACTGACCTATCCAGCAGTTTTCCCTAAATGCATGGGTTTAATCAGGATTTTGAAGATTAGCCCCAACCCAAGAGTTTAAGCTCACTGCACAATAGTAATGGTAAAGATATGTCAAGCTAGAGGGCTGGAGCAGGATTCAGAAGCCCTGGTTCATATCCGCATGTGGCTATGAAGCTTTCTAGGTGACCTTGGGCTAGTTACCCTTACTCAGTCTGCCCTACTTTACAGTACTGTGGTTGTGAGAGCAAAGTGCAGAAAACAAAGAGTCAAGTATGCCATGAAGAGAAAACTCTTCTTAAAACTGCTTTCATATTCACTCACACTGTTACATTCACACCTTTATTATATGTTCCTCCCTCAGAATCAGAACACAATTTGCTACACTGGAAAGAAATCAGAACAATGGATTTATGCCCTTTGTAGCTCTTGTTCACTCGGTGTAAGGTCTGTAGCTCAGAGATAGCCCAGAAAAGGCACTTTTTTTCAGATTGTGGGTGAAAGGAGTCCAGGCTCAGAAGAACTTGAGTAAAGGAAGGAGGGGGAGAGTGGGGGAAGAGCGAATACTATGTTTTTGAGGTCCTTTGCTGGAGAAGGAAACAAGAACGCAGTCTGCACCAATGAAAGAAGGAGAAGTACCACAGAGAGTAGGCAGGTTGCCAAGCAAGCTCGGCAGCGTGACCGAGCTGCATTGAGTTTCTTTAATGAAAGCCAGGAAAGAACACATTACACAGTGTTTCTTCAGAGAGCTAAGCTAGCCTCCAGTGATTGAAATCAATAAAAACAGTCGGCAAGGGGCCCAAGTGGGGGGAAGAACCAAATCTCTACTTCAGCGTTCCATTTGCCTTCTTTCCACTTTCTCCATTTCCTTAAAAGTTAAACTTTGATTAACTACATGCTCTTCCTTGCAGCACTCTAAAGATTTTTTTTAAATCTTATTTTTGATCTGTTGAGTGGACAGCAGTTTGAAGCTTCCTTCCTACTTACCCCCTCCACTCTCTTTTACAGCATGAAAGCCATGAAATTGTTGTTTTGAATGTGAAACCTGCCTGGAAGGACACCTCCGGACAAGTGCCTGATCTTATGCTCAGCTGGGGAGGCGGTGAGAGAGGGAATGAAGTTTCTACCAAAGAAACATTAAAAAGAGATGTAAGAGGAAGTAAATGATGGGATTTTATTCAGCAAAAGCTCTCTGTCTGGACAACATGTCAGCTGCCGCCGCCGCTGCTGTGGCAAATTCTCAAACTGCTGAAGAGACAGCCTCAGAAGGGGTCAGCTCGTTCTAAAGAAGAACAGGAAAAACATCTGAGACTTCATGTTCAGTTAAGAGCTCAAGATCTATCTCAGGTAAGTCTTTAATCAGTTTCTAGCAACTGGGGAAGAAACTCTGAAGTAAAAAAGATCTTTGTTTTACTATGTGCCTGAAAATGTCTTCAGTACGTGTACTTGTTAATTCTTTTCAAACTGACTATTTAAGCACAGCATACTTTAGCCATCTGAATGAGAGAGGGTTGACAATTCTATAAAGAATCCAATCAGCACAAGGAATGGCCAAATATGCACAAAGTCTGGGGAATTTATTCATTTATTTATTTGTGTGTGTGTTTAACTTAATTTATAGACAATTTGGCCACTATGTAATACCACCCATTCCCTAAAGGACCCTTGTGTTCCACACTTTAGAAAGCCCAATCTGCTGTTTTCATTTTGAAACATCATGGAGACTATACAATGAAAGCAAACTGCTTTCAGTAATGGTTCTCGGATGAAGCATGTATCCACTTGATCTGTTTTACAGAGAAGGCTTCATCAGCTACTTCACAGAGTGCTTAAATGCTCAACCGAGTGCCTGGGTGATTTTTAAAACTAGAAATATTAATGTCTGTATTGTTCTCAAATCAATATTGCAAGATGCAGTGCAATGATTTGAACAATGAGAAATTTAAACTGTTTTTGTGGGCATGTTATAACAAAGTTCATATAAAGATACAAAAATTATATATGCAAGCTACCAATACACAGTAATTCAAGATTTCCCCAAACCTTTAACCACCAAACAATCAGGCTTAATGGCTAAATCTCACCTTAATGGAAGCAGGGACTTAAATACTGACTGGATCTTATGGTTTGGGATGCAGGAGGATTGACAGATAGGTTAAGGAATGCAGGCTGAGAAAACCTAGAGCAGAAGAGTTGTGTTGCCAAGTACCATGGCTGTTACCTGATTATAGAAACCTGGAATCATGACAAATTCATCCTGATGACCATAACAGTTGTGCTGGGAAGGGTGGAATGCTAAATAAGTCAATTTCTTAGTTTTTGGGGAAAGTAAGAAAGCAAGCATATTATCCTGCAACATTTCTCAGCTGTAAGTAGGGACATTGCTGTAATAACCCTGGCTTTCATAACAAGGGGTCTTTTCTCATTATTGAATGCTCTACTTGGCCTGCTGTATTCAAACTGACAATACTCTACAGATAGTGTACTGCAAAGTTCCCTGTACAATAAACTTTATGGAATGGTAGAACAACATTGTAGCAGATTGGTGATAGACACCTGCAAGAATACAAAAGCAAAAAGTATGGCTTCTACAGGAGCAAGCCACTTTAGGTTATGGGGTTCTTGGATATGCAGTAACTGAGATTGGGTTTTTTTGGGGGGGGGATAGAAAGACTAGAAGACAATATGCTTTGCAAGCAGAAGTGACTAATTTTGGTTCCAGACATATCAGTCAGGAATGAAAAAGACCCCTTGAGCATTGCTGTCAATAGCTGAGCCTTCCTTTACTACTTGCTACACTACAGGGGGATGGCAGGCACTTTAATTTGTCACATCTGGAAGGCCCAAGCCTTGTGTAAACAACACGGAACTAGGTGAAGCAATGTTGTGATTTAATATAAGGCTGCTTCCTATGACTTTACATGGCGGTAGGAGAAAATATTCTGGAATATTTTATGGGTAAAAAGTAATTCATTTGGTTGATTTGAAACTTGTTGTTTAGTCGTTAAGTTGTGTCCGACTCTTCGTGACCCCATAAACAAGAACACACCAGGCCCTCCTGTCTTCCACTGCCTCCCGGAGTTGTGTCAAATTCATGTTGGTCACTTCTATGACACTGTCCATCCATCTCATCCTCTGTCGTCCGCTTCTCTTGCCTTCACACTTTCCCAACATCAGGGTCTTTTTCAGGGAGTCTTCCCTTCTCAAGAGATGGCCAAAGTATTGGAGCCTGTCCTTCCAGTGAGCACTCAGGGTTGATTTCTTTCAGAATAGATGGGTTTGTTCTCCTTGCAGTCCAAGGGACTCTCAAGAGTCTCCTCCAGCACCACAATTCAAAAACATCAATTCTTCACCTGTCAGACTTCTTTATGGTCCAGCTCTTACTTCCATACATTGCTACTGGAAAAACCATAGCTTTGACTATGCGGACCTTTGTTGGCAAGGTGATATCTCTGCTTTTTAAGATGCTATCTAGGTTTGTCATCCCTTTCCTCCAAAACATAACCACAGCCAAGGCCAACCAGGTTTCATCTTAACCTGAGTTCCATGCTACTTTCAAATCTTGACTGCAAAAGAATCCTGGTTAGCCTTTACTGTAGCCCTCACAATGTTAACATAACATATAGAATTAAGGAGTGTGGACATTAAAGACAAAAACATTTTTTAAAAAAAAATTGAGGTGGTAGCTTTTAAAAGTAATGTCTGTTATACAGAAAAATGAAATGGATGGATGTTTACTACAAATTTTCAATAAGGCTTTTGGCTTGCTCTTCCACCTGTTGCCCAAGGCTACATTTATTTTGTCCTGTCATCTACCTTGACATTCTGCCAGAGCTTCCAAGTCTTCCAGCTGCCCAAAGTCCCTCTTGGGATTTACACTGGCACCAGACTCCCAGGTTCAGGTAATAAATTTCCTGGATTCACAACAACAGAGGGGAATTTGCCAATCATTGTCAAGTAAAATTAACTAACCCACAATTCCCATCATCTCAGGATGAAATTTACTCTGGTGCTAACTGCAGGATTTATGAATCATCCATCTGCACATCCAGCCCAATTCAACAATGAGACTGAATATGGCAAGCTATTTATTATCTTGCAATCCACTACAATTTCACTGCTCCCTTGAGATTATGCTATCAGGCCTACATCCTATTGATGCTTTTAAAAAAAGTAACAAAAACACTTTCCTACATCTTCTTGCTGGATATAAATTTCTTCAAGGCTGGAATTCCAAGTGCAGGTCAATAGAAATACACATGAGCCTCACTTCCAAATAAACATGGTTTGGACTGGATTAGAAAACAGTGCCTGCCATGATAGCACTACCAAGTGTGGGGCTGTTTCCATTGCTGGATGTCTTAAGCATTGTACTGCTTCTAGACTGGAAGACATTGGTTGAAAAAGAAAGACTACTATTTCATGCACACAGAGAGAGAAAGGAACACATGGTACCTTGATATAATACTAATAAAGTTGCTAGCCTGCATTTATAAGCATAACCACTCTCCATCTCTGTGTTACTCATGATCCAGCATTGACTACCAGGATCACAAGCAGGGCAGGAAACACCATATACTATGATAACTACGGGTTTATGCATTTGTTTCCAGGCAGGCATGGTGAGGCTGGATTTCTATAAAGAGGGGATTGAGAATTCAGGGCTTAATTGTATTTATTCATAATAAAGTTACTTGGAAAACAATGTTTAAAAGCAACCTGGGTGTTAAATGAAATTACATTGCCTTTTAAAATCTTCCAGTTATTTTGAGTCTGATTATGCTATAGCTATAAGTGTCATTCTGTATGAGGGGGGTTTGTGAGGCAGAAAGCAAGCAAACTAGCCAAAGGTAAACACTTTAAGTGCCATAGTTTTTCTCTTCTTTAAATAAGAAAGTGCTGTGTCGTAGCCATACAGATTGGTAGGAATTCAGTACTTTGGTGTTCTGAAGTAAAAAAAAAAGAGCTCAATTTTGCAGAAAGATGGTTGTTGTGGGTGCTACTCCTGTCCTCTGAAGGTGCTGGCCACAGAGACTGGCGAAACGTTAGAAAGAACAACCTTCAGAATACGGCCAAAGAGCCCGAAAAACCCACAACAACCATTAGATCCTGGCCGTGAAAGCCTTCTCAAATACTTTGCAGAAAGACCTTTCTTGAAATCAAGCTCTTCTTGTATCATGCCCTTCTGAGCTCTCCGGTAGGCCAAACAAAATGCAGAAGACAACACAACCTTTGCGTAACTGGGGTCCCTGCTCATCAAGCATATAAAAAATGACAGTTTTAGAATTGTAAATGGGTTTTTTTTTGCAAATGAAAGCCAAACTCAGGATATACCCCAAAATCATGAAGCAATTATTGCACAGAAAACCACTAAGCCCAGAAAACAAAATTAACTTGAATTACTCTTCAATTAACTTGAACTACTCTGCAGACCCCATATGTGGGCATACTTTCCCTCTCTCGGTTTTCCACATTACTGAAAGTTGTACAATTATATGATGACCAGAGGTAGTTAAGCCATGAAAAATTATTCTATTCCACCAAACATCTTCTTCCAAAGAAGTCAGCTATCAAGTATCAGGAGATAAACGAGTTCAGTCAGAGGCCATATGTTAAGCAGCTGTGAGTTAGCTGCCTAAGAGTTCAAACTTAATGTTAATGCAGAAGCTCTGCTTTTTATGTTTTCCTTCCTACACCTACACACATGCCTACATATGGATGCACATGCTAAAGCAATAAACCCAATTTGATTTTCACATCCAGAATAGCAGAAAATGGCATATTGTATATCATACAAAGTTCTGATCCATCATGTTTACTCCAGGCAATAAGTAGGGTATTCATTGGCACAAACAATAGAAGAACTTTGCTTTCAAAACTCAGCATTTTCTCTTGTAAATGCTGTAGGAAGAGATGAGAAACCATACACTTTAGTGAAAAGATTATCTTCAAGCATGGGGGCAAGGGGAGGGAGGGAAAATATCTAAATCGGTATAGGTTGTGGGTGAAGAATTGGACTCTAGAGTGGACCGAATCTGGCTTGCCGGGCCGTTTAATGTGGCCCTCACAGTGTTGCCTGCTACTGTGCAGTACACAATATGCAGGCGCTTACTCAGTCACCCAGAATGCTCCACAAGTATGCTGAGAATCTGCCCGGCAGGACTTCTAATCCCAGGATTCCAATCAGCGAAGAGTCAGAAAGTGCAGCACCTTGGGAAATGTAGTCATTGTTCAACTTTTTTGTTCACAGCAATTATTTGTTTTGCCATAGATCTCCTTGTCTCAACTGGGACCAAACAGTTAAATAAAGTTAATATAATAAACAGTGCTTGGTAATATTTGATAAT